TCAACCACGAGCCCATCCCGAACCAGCCCCGTGCCTCAGTTTCCCCAGCGATGATGGGTGTTAGCTGCTCCACCAAAGCACGATCTACTGATGAGCCTAACATAAAACCAATGAATCTTTGCACACAAACCATCTATTATTTAAAACTTGTGATGGAGCCACGTACACACGTGTAGCGGTTGCTACATGTCCAGATCTTCAACAGGCTCTACAGGCACCCATCTGGGAGGGGAAGAAACCTAAACCACACACCAAATGGCTTTTCTATGCTGATTTTTTCCCTCCCTGCCAGGGTGGCACCTCTAAGGGACATGAGGAAACTGCGTCAGCTCCTGGGTCTCTCAAGGAACCTCAGGCAAGGTCCGAGAGGGATGCCCATGGACTGGAAGCTGTCACAAGCAAAGCTGTCAGCTCTGCTGACAGGAGGGACGCAGTTGAAATTAGCTCTTCCTGGGCTCTGCCTATGCTAGAACCAACTGGAAGAGGAGCACAAAGCCTAGCTGGTGACACAGATAAAGCTCTGGAACATCTCAGTACTTCTGAAATGCTTTGAAGGGGAAACAGTTCCAGTTACAACACTGGGATGTTGCTGTAACAACTCATTGGAAGACTTTAAAGAACACAGACCCAGGCTGGAGACCAGCATGGGCAGAACCATCCACCCAGCAAAAGGCACCTCCCTGATGAAGGACTGCTCCTACATGGCAGCTGCCAACACTGCCACAAGCAACACCACAATGAGCATCCAGGGGCAAGGCACGGACACTCATCCCCATGTGCCACCCATCCTAGGGGGGCAGAGAGTTTAGGACAAGGGGACTCCAGCAGCTCTCCAATGCCCAACAGCCTTCGGTATACACAAGAGCCTGGCACACCTTGAGGAGCAACATGAATTACTCCTGTGGGTGTAGCCGAGAACCCAGCTATCTCCGGACATCTCGGTCAACCCCGTAGTGAAAACATTGGGACGTTTCTTATCGGCAGTTGGAGAGGATTAAAGCACCAGGCTATATATTAATGAGGTTATAAACCCATCTCAGCTTGAACGCCGTGTTCACGGCAAGAAAATCAAAGCAAGAACAGGGCAGATCAAAAGAGAACCATTAAAGGCATGAAAAAATGGGGCTGCCTTATAAAGAACTAGTAAAGTTAGCGGCAACCAGTTTGGAGGAGAGAAAAAGGGGCAGGAGAATCAGAAAACATCCTTGGGGTCCGCAGACTATAGTAGAGACAGCCTCCCTTCGAGGACAGAACACCAAACACCAGAGAAAAGGCAAGTATCTATGTTCTGAACGAGCAGCATCTTACCCGTGCAGCACAGCTCACTGCCACATGTCACCAGGACGGCTTGCCCAACACTTCAAAAGCAAAGATTAGATACCAGCAAGGACAGCAATGGGAGCTCCATGTGCCAAGAGTGTAACTCCTTACACTGGGTCCTAGCGTAGCAATTACTCTGTGGAGCACAGCTGGAGTCAAGAAGGAAGGCATTTACACTTCTCTCCATAGCTGGGGACATGGGCAGTGACATCCAGCATGGATTAGAGCAGTCACATTAGTGACACACAGCAACCATCCCCAACAGCATCCAGTGCACATCCCACTTGCTTTGTTTTTTACTGGAAAACCATAGGTTACCCATATGGGAGCCCTCAGACATCACGAGGAACATGCAGAGCATTTCTTTCTTTGAGCCACCCAGCCCCAGCCACCATCTTGTCACTATAAACTGTATTTATTTACAGCCCTTTCCTGCTCATTGACTCTATTTATTAAAACGATGCTATGGCAGCTGAATACCCAAATGCCAGTGAGGCTTTTAGCTCAGTTTTAAGCCAAGCCTGAATTACAGACCTAATTTTATTGCTTACCCATTAACGTTTTATGCGATGGATAATTTTCTCCAAGAAGGCATTGGTGCTGTTTGGTATTTGGGCTCATTTGTTGCCAAGACAGAGGATATCAGCTTACACACAGATAATGCTTTGGATACGAAGTCTGGTTCTGGATCCTAAGCAACACAAAGTATAGGATTTGTATTAATAAAGCTAGTCATTTTGGCTTGTTCCCCTTTGAGTGTTAGTGCTCCAGTTGTTCATGAGGAGACAACTCAACCCAGAATGCTCCCTCCACATTTTCCAAACCCTGTATTTAGTAATTTATTTGCTAAATAATTTTATTTTCTATTTTTCTCATTCCAGTTTTCTCCAGCAGCAGAGTCCAGTGTGATGTCCGAGCCACACAACCGAAACACTGTGTGCCAGAACAAGACTGCAGAAGAGCTTATTCTTAGTACATATATTAGAATTGATTTTTATTTATATATAATATATATATTTATATATAACAACCCATATTTTTGCCTGTTGTTGGGGAAAAAAAGAGGACTATCACAGTGCTGCTCCCCCTGCCCCCCAGCTTCTGTGTGACCACATACCATAGAGCTGAACCTGCTCACAAAGGGGTTTCCCAAAGACAGGGCATGGTATCAGCTAAACAGAGAGGACTTCAGTCTTCCAGGCTGCAAAAGAATACATTTTAGGGGAAAAACAAAGAAGAAAACCAAGTAACGCCAGCCCTGTCTGAACTGGTACCCAAACAGGACCACTCCAATGGATATAAATCCCTTAGGATGGGATAGATCACTGTATCCTGTACTACTGTTGCATTATTTCTACATAAAAGCCCCATGTGCCCAAGAAAAAAATCCCAGATATTACACTGAAGCAAGGTTTTAATACAAAGTCCGAACCTGTCAGCTTAAGGCTGCTCTTCCCCACATTCCCCATCAGATTGATCAGCACAAAATAAACACTGAGCCAGCCACTACCAGAGCTTTTGTTCCATCAAACACCATTTTGATACTGAAGCAACTTGGTGATGTAGATGAGGCAGACGGAATGCACGTTGGTGTGGTTATGGCTCTCCCCCTTCAGAGAACAGCACTGAAGAAAAATAACAGCAATACAGGACAGGAGAAGGGTTCCGTGAGTGGCCTTTGCTTTAATTTCACCTCTGCAGATCTCATGGTGCAGCTTTTAAGTCTTTGGGATAACAGGAAAGCTTGAAAGACCACGGTTTTCCCCGCTATGGAGCAGAGATTTCTATTGCTCACCTGCTTTTTGGCACCAGAAATGTGTTTAGCTTGGAAACGCCATGGATGTAGCAGTAGCAACTCTTCAGTCCAAAGCAGAGGTGGTGAAGGTCCAGCCCTCACAAGGCAATTCTCCCTCGTTTGTCCTAAACTGCCAAAGAAAAGTAATCCCAAGTCCCACATGATGTGCCAACCTGGAAAATGTGGGAACATCCCAAGCAGCCAGCATCTCAGTCCAGGGTCCCTCCATGCCAGCAGAGGCCTCTGAGGAGCACAAGGCGGATCTCCAAACCAACACATCCCTGATGAGAGAATACAAGTCATATCCCTGTCCATGGTGGTTTACTTCAAGCACAGCCGAGGCTTCAGGCACAGGAGCTATTGGCAGTCTTCATAGGACACCACACACCAGCTTTCCCAGGAGCACCGTATGAAAGCTGGCCTGGACACCTCATAATTGCTCTCCACTCATTTTTTGTGCCAAAAAAAAGCATGAAGTCAGAGCTGTGCTACAAACCTGCAGCAAGCAGGGGGACACTGGCAGGGAATCCTGCGTTTCCCACATGGTGCTGCTCCAGCTTAGCCGAGCAGGGCCTCTCTGTGGTCAGCCAGAGGCAGCCACGCGACACCGATGCCAATATTCTCATTACAGGAGGCTAACAAGAAGGTGCCGATACCCAACACGCCCTGTGCACTAATGACTCTGTGCCGTGAAGTCACTTGTGACCTCGGGAAGACCAGCACTGGGTGCTTTTTACGACACCACAAAAAGAACTGCACCCAGTAGGGAATCATCGGCATTCTTCATAACATCACGGGATGGTTTGGGTTGGAAGGGACCTTAAAGCTCCTCCAGTTCCAACCCCTGCCACGGGCAGGGACTCCTTCCACTAGAGCAGCTTGCTCCAAGCCCCTGTGTCCAACCTGGCCTTGAGCACTGCCAGGGATGGGGCAGCCACAGCTTCTCTGGGCACACTGTGCCAGCACCTCAGCACCCTCACAGGGAAGAGCTTCTATCTAACCTGATAAATCTTCTTGTGAGCCAGCGTGGCTTTGAGGAATCAAGTAATAAACCAGCAGCAACTTATAGGCATAAGTTCCTGGGGGAGGAAAAAATGTAATTCAAGGGGACACTGATCTCCACCAACACAATTTAGGCCATTGCAATGTTCCTTCTGCCATTTGCTCTAGCAAAATTGGGAGTAATATGCTAGCACATGTAGGTCTGTTCGTTGTAGGGAAAGGGGCCCCACAGTTTTACTCCCTGGAGGCAACTGTTCTCCCCACCCCTTTTGTGTGTATTTTTTTTTAACGTGCCACACAGCAGCACAATGCTGACAAGTGCATTGTATGTTTTCTGCCTATGCAGCAGTTCAGGAGCACACAGCTCGGGAAGGGGGTTTTTAAAAGGGGAAAGGGGGAGGGAGCTGTCTTCGCTGTACCGACTGAATTGCACGCCCAGCTCTTCTATGTGACCATGGGGAAGGGGAAAGGACACTGAGGTTTAAAAACAGCTTTGAGCATCCAAAAGGGTCTTCTCCGTGATACAAGTGGAGCTTAGAGTAAAAGCTACCACAGGCAGGAAAAAACAGTATACATAAATCACCAGGGTTTCTTCTCTGGCACTGGAAGTGACCCCAGAATACAGCTCATCAGTCCTCACTGCTGTTAATCTCCATGTTTCCACACCTGACAAGGCAGAGATACCAGCTCTGAGGAAGGAAAATGGAGGAGGGAAGGGTATGGAAAGCTGGACTGTCCCTTTTCCACCTGCCAGGAGCAGCTCGATGGAGCCTCAGTAGCACCACTCCACAGAGCAGCAACCAGAGCACATTACCAGCCGCCACGAATGAAGCTGCTGGTTCATGCCCCCCCCCCCGTTACGCACAGGACTGACAAACACAGCTTCCTCTAACAATGAGGATGACTAATCCACAGCACTTTATTTATTTATTTTTGGTGAAGGCCACAGGGCAGAGCTTTTTTTCCACAAAGCCTTTGCTTTTGTGAATTAGTAAGCAGTGGGAAGGGGAAGCCCTGGGACCTACTCGTGCTATCCAGACAGAAGTAACCACAGAAACATTGTGGGTTTCTGTGGCCCGTGTACAACACACACTTACACAACCAGAGCACCATGCTTTTCGCTCCTCCGCAAGGCCAGCTCCCACTGCCCAGGAGGCTCTGAGATCACTGCGTGGTTGTAATACTTACAAAGGTGTGGAGAGGGGTTACACAAACAGTCCCGTGTTCCCCTGGAAAGGAAGAAAAAAGGGGAAAAAATAAGGCATAAGACAAGCTTCCACCCATAATGTTGCCACGTCCCCCTGCTCTACCTGGGTCAGAGAAGGGATGTGCAGGAGAAAAAGTGGTGTGCAGGGTTCTGTCATGGAAACAGAGCATCTGCATTAGCTCGGTGGGGGCCAGTCCCCCATGCAAGGTTGCTCTGGCTCTCAGGGCGCATTAGCACTAGCGGCCAGCTTTAATGCAGAGCTGTGGTCAAACCACAGCAGAGCCAGCACCGAAGGAGGTCACCTGGGGACTGCAAAAAGGTAATGAACTAAAACAATATAAAACGGGGGAGGGGAGGGAACAATCTGTAAGCAGATGTTTACTGACGAGCAGGCAGGTCCACAGCTTCGCCCTGGCAAGCTGCAGAGCTGCCTGCACGGAGCAGGCGGAGAAATCCCAGCCCAGTTCCCAGCAAAACAATCCGCATCTAGAGAGAACACTGAACAGATCTGGGTTACAGCTTTTAGCCAGCCCCACTCACCCCCACCACCCCCCTTCGGCTCTGCAGCCCTAAACCCCACCGAATCTGTCCTCTTTTTAAGCACTCAGAAGCAGAGATTTGCCACCAGAGTGATTCCTGGTGGTGGTACCGTTAAATACTTACCCACCTCACAGCCAAGGGCTGTGGAATCTTACAATTCGGGAGTGTTTGCAAATGGTTTTGAAAGCCTTCCAAGGAAGGTGCTGTAGGATTGTAAATCCTCCCCATTATTAATAAAATGGAGCTGTTGTTCCAACTCTAATCAAGACTTGTCTCCAGCTGGGCAATTTAAAAACGCAATTGAAAACACACAAAAAAAATCCCCCCACGATCATGAGGAAGCTTCAAGGAAAAAAAACAATCATCAGTGAAACAGCTGTTCTTTAAGGGGAAAGGAGGAGAAACCGAAAAATAACGACCCTGCTATCTGAAATGAATTCCAAGCAGGAGCATGGCGGGGCAGGGGGGTGTCTGCCGCCCTCCCACCGCCTGGGAAAGGTCACTTCTGCCATCGATGCCCTCGCTGCGCCCGATGAAGCGAGCAGCAACCCCATTGCGGTGAGCCAGCCCCATCCATCTCCATCAGGAGACAGCCCTGCTTTTAATTCATTTAGCAAAGGGGGAAGGGAAAAAACAAACTAGAAACCAAATTTATGTGAAAGAAAAAGAAAAAAAAAAAGAAAAGAAACAAACCCTCGCAAACACCTCCCTGCACCCTTGTCATGGATGGGGAAATCTAGCGAGGGGGAAGAGGTGCCAGGGAGAAGTGGTGCATCCTTCTCATCATCATCTTCATCCTCCTCCTCCTCCGGCAGGGACCACGCCTGCCGGGCGCTGCGGCAAAGGCTCCGCAGTGGGTGCTCCCCTCCCCCGTAGAAGCTTCTGGAATAAGGAGCCGAGCTGGAAAGAGGAGAGAAACCTTTATACCCGCAGAGAGGGGGGGAAGAGAGCGAGCGGCGGAGCGCGTAATAAACGGGAGAGGATTGCACAAGGATGGGGTTGTGTGCAGGGGGGTAAAGAGAGAGATATATATACATAGATATATATAGATAGATATAAATGTAGCCCAGGAGCGGCTCTGCAGCCGGCTCGGCTTTTAAACCAAACACCCCAACACAGAGCACACACAAAAAAAGAGGGAATATGGTGGTGTGTGGAGCGGTAGAGGATGGGATAAAGGAGCTGATCCCTCCTCCCGGATCTGCCATTGCGCTTGGGCTCGTTTGTCCTCTCGTTCTGTCGCAATGAGTTGTCTGATCCGGACTCTCTGATTTGCAGCTTCAGGTTCGGGGTTTCTGTGCAGTTGTTTGTTGTTGTTTGGTTTTTTTTTTAACTTTTTTTTGCTGTTTTTAAATTATTTTAATTAAAAAGGCAAAAAAAATCCTCCCAAAATCTCCATCTCTGTGGAACAAGTAAAACATTCAGGCACACTTCCACCACGGACTGTAGAAAAGAGCTGAGTTCCTTCTTGGTTTTTCTTCTTTTTCTTTCTTTTTTTTGATGGCTTTTTTTCCTTTTTCTCCTGCTTTTAGGATGTATTGTAGTAGAAAGCCAATGGAGGAAAACAAAGGTAATATATATATATCTATAAAATCAAACGTATATACGGGCCAAAATAAGTGGTTATATAGAATAAAATCACAGTGGTTTAGGTGTGGGGGTTGATATTCTGTAATCAGTCCATAGAAAAAAAGGGGATTCCGATGTATATAGAAATATGTTAGAAATACTTCCGTGTGTGTAGAAATAGCATAAGCATGGGCCTAAATCTGTTCATTCCAGGTTAAAAACCAGCAGTGGTTTAGGGCTGTGGTTTGGAACAAAGAAGGGACAATGTTAAAATGCACCCTGTAACAACACTGGGGTAGGAAAAAGGGAAGGCAACATTAAAAGCAGTATTAAAAGCATACGTGGTACCTTGGCTGCAGCTTCCAACAACGAGCGTTTGGATGTTACGGGGTGTATATATATAGATACATAGATAGATATAGATAACATTTATATTTAGAGTATTACCACGTCTGACCACACGAAGGATATGCTTTTAATTAACGTTATGGCGGGCAGGTTGTCGTCGGGAGCAAGACGAGCGGCGATGGCTTCTTGTTCCCCACACGCCTCCGGCTCGGCAGGCACGTCCATCCTCGGGTGTTCTGGGGTTGATTCTTGCTCTTTTTAAAGCACGTTTGGGTATTTTCCACGCCGAGAGGAGAGCGGGAGGTGGCGGCTCGAAGGAGAAAAGCGGTGGAAGGGAATGGAGGCATGGACCTGCCCGCCCCGGCGCGCGTGTGGTGGGGATGGGGGGAGCGCAGGGAACGGGCAGTTCGGGGCCAAAAACCTTCAGGCTATGAGGTAAAATAAGAGAGATTTTAAGGGTCGGTGCCGGCCATCTGCGCGGGGGGGTGGCTGGAGCAGCATTTCTGGCGGATTTCAGCTTCCTTTTGTCAAGGCGGTGAGGAAAAGGGGGGGGGGGAGGTCGGGTTTCCCCCGCAGCGCTTCCACCGCCCGCCCGGAGGGGATGCGCACACGAGGAGGAGCCCCTCCGCCGAGCTCTTGGCACGGCCGCGGCTCCCGCTCGCCGCCCCGGCCCCGCTCAGCCGCGCCTCGTCCCGTCCTTCCCCCCGCTGCCCGCCCGGCGCCATTTTGTCGCCTCAGCGCCGCTCGCAGCGGCCCCGCCGGGCGGCCATTTTGTGAAGCGGTTCCCGCTGAGGCGCGGGTGAGGCGGCGCTGTGGAGCCGGGGGGGAGCCCCGACCCTCGCCCTCCTCCTCCTGCCCGTGTTCGCCCTCAAGAACGCTTCTTTTTAGTGTTTTATTTCTCTTTTCCTCACAAAACGCCGTGCCCTTAAAGCGCCGGTCGCCAAAGGAAGCTTCAGCCTCGGACGAAGCAATCCGGTAAAGGATATCAAAGTATTCGCGCGGCTGTGAGGGAAAGTGTGGCCGCACGGGGAGTGAAGGGATAAATTCTTTTTTAGGAGCCATTCACCCCTCCTCCTCCTCCTCCTCCCCTCCAGCATTTTGTCCCAGCGATAAATCTCCCAGCTCAATAAACGACCTTGACAAAGGGGATAAACAGAGAAATATCTCTTTGGTTAAATAAAACGCCTCATCTACAGGCTCTAATGAACGCTGCAGCAAAGCAAAGAGATATAAACCGGTCTGGGCAAAAAAAAAGGTTCATTTTGGGGAAACAGGGCTTGCGGGATGCTGTGGTCGCCTCAGATATGAGGGAAAGATGGGATCTAAAAGGTCAAATCCGTGCATTTGTTTTCAGAAAGAGGGTTGGGGTTGGGTTGGTTTGGTTTGAAATAACCAGAGCCTGGTAACGCGCGTGCGTAAACGGCTGCATTGGTTTGACTTGGTGTTACTGAACAACGCCCAGAGGGCTTTAAATACAGCCCGTGCTGCTGGTGGGTCAGGTGTGCAGGAAAATGGGGGGAAAGGGGAATATTGAGGTTTTTAATATATATAGATATCCATGCTGCGTAATGAAGCTGAAGAAATCCAAGACTTGGGCTGCTCCCAGAGGAATCCCTGCTGGTTTTTCCCCCTCTCCTTAGTCAGCAGGATCAGACCACTTCTCGTTGAAGGAGTGGTAGGGGTTTATGTCGTGTCACGATGCGACAGCACAGAAAATGGCTCCAAACACAGTGGGGAAGGACAGCACTGCAGCAGGATGATGGGAGATGGTTTCCTCTGGTCAGATCAGAAGAAAAAAAACATTTTTCCTTCATCTCTGTTTGAAAAACAAACCCATCAGCAGCATTAATTCCCCATCCATCCAGCCCTCCCTCCATCTATCCCTCCCTCCTTCCCTCCCTCCCTCCCTCCCTCCCTTCATCTATCCCTCTCTCCCTTCATCCCCCATTCATCCATCCTTCCAGCCATCTCTCTCTCCCTCCCTCCATCTGTCCATCCATCCATCCACCCACCATCCATCTCTCCTTCCCTCCATCCCTCCCTACCTTCATGCTCCATTCATCCCTCCCTCCTTCCCTTCATCCCCCATTCATCCATCTCTCCCTCCATTCCCTCCTTCCCTTCATCCCCCATTCATCCATCTCTCCCTCCATTCCCTCCCTCCTTCCATCCCTTCATCTGTCCCTTCCTCCATCCTTGTCTCCCTCCCTTCATCCATCCACCACCCATCCATCAGTCCCTCCATGCCTCCCTCCCTGCCTCCATCCATCCCTCCTCCCAGCAGAGCCCTGGCAGCTGCTTCAGCCTTGGTTTCCCCTCCTGCAGCATTCCCCTCCAGCTCCTTCCCGGCCCCTTGGAGGCGGTGATGGCAGAGTGAAGGCACGAGAGGAATCTGGCTCATCTCTCCGGCTCTGCGCTTGCATTTCTCACGGCCGACCATGGGGGATGCTGAGGGAAAAGGCACTTGCGAGCCTGTTTCCCTTTACAGGCTTTGCTTTCCCTGCACTACACCAAAACCTTTGGCTTACAAACAAAACCTGTGAAAAGGCCTCATTTGTAACAAAGCACAGCTTCCACCACTGATTTAAAACCACTACAGGTGAGCCTGACAGCTCATTCTTTACTTTAAAAGCTGATCAAAGATCAGTTGTTTGTGAGAGTGACAACCTTTGGAGTTTTATGGGCTACGAATTGGGTTCAGTCTGGAGAAGAGAAGGCTCAGGGGGTACCTGATTGCTCCCTACAAGTGCCTGACAGGAGGATGGAGCCAGGAGGGGCTGGGCTCTGCTCCCAAGGAACAAGGGATGGGACAAGAGGAACCGGCCTCAAGCTGCACCAGGGCAGGTTTAGATGGAGCTGAGGAACAATTCCTGCCCCAGAGAGAGAGAGTGCTCGGGCTTTGGAACAGGCTGCCCAGGGCAGGGCTGCAGTCACCGTCCCTGCAAGTGTTCACACACCGTGGAGACGAGACCTCAGTGCCATGGGTTAGTGGTGGCCTTGGCAGTGATGGGAACAGTTGGACTGGATGATCCTAAAGGTCTTTTCCAAGCCGGTTGCTCCTGCGCTTCCCAGCTCACAGCAGGGTACGGCGTTAGATGCCTTTGCTGGGAAAGCCCAGGGAAATCTTATCCCCGGACCGCACCCAGCCTGGAGTGAAGAAATATTTGCATTTGCTTCTCGTTGGAGGGCAGCCACGTCCCGCCCCGCTCCCCTGGGCCTGCCAAGAGGGATTGCAAGACAAGGCAGGCTTATTGCAGCAGCCGAGGGAAGGGCAGGGCCGGCCCGTGCGACTCCAGGGGTGTAGGATCCTCTTTGCCCTTTTGCACTGCCACTGGAGCAGGACAAGACTTTGGGCGGGTTTTATGCCTATGATGGTCCCTGGGGGGCTCTGCAAGGCTTTGGGGTGCTCCTAAGGCAGAGCAAGAGCTTTGTCTTGCTCTATGCATGATTTGTGTTTGGTTTAGTCTTTGCCAAGCAAACCTGGGCGCTTGTAAAAGCGCTTGCAACAGGGCACAGAGCCCGAGGACAGGCGGAGCTGTCGCAGCAGACCTGGGCTTGCTCAGCAGCAGGATGGGACCCGTCTCCCGCAGCCTCACCCTGCAAAATCTCCTCCATGTGGCTCGGCCAGCATTGGAAATTCCTCGAGGTGCTCCCAGGAGGAAACACGGGGCTGTGCTTTTCAGGCATAGTGACGCTCCCTGTGCCTCGACTCGCAGTGCTTCTCCCCTTACCCGAGGAGAAAATGGCTTAAGTCAGTCTATTTTCCTCTTGCCTCCATGTCCATCCATTCCTGTCCCTCCTCATCCTCTTTTCCTGGAGAATATGCCAAATCTCACCAGTTCTCTGTCCCTTTGCCACACTGCCAAACTCTCCAGTGTGAAGCCTTGCAGAAGTTGCCCTTCTGCCCTCCAGCAACTTCTGTAATGCTTCATGTCAATAAAAAAACATTCCCTGCCTACCTCTGACCAGAAACTGCCACAGTCATGGTCCTAACAGCCTGTCCTGGCTTGCTCTGCAGGAGAAACACCCAACCCTTCCCACCATTAGCCTTGCAGAGGGGTAGCATAGCTTGCTGGGCACCCAAGGGTGCTGCGCAGAGGGGTTAAGCCAGCGTGCAATGTAATAACTCATCCAAAACACCTCTCAGCATCAGCGTTTCCATCCTCCCCCAACATTTATTGGAAAATCACCCACATTGCAAAGAAAGGAGGAGCCCTTTGCTCTCTGGGGCTCCTCTTCCCCACACTCTTTACCCCCCGCTGAGTCTGCCCATTTCTTTTTACTGTTCTAGCATCATTTGGTGCCTGGTTTTCCCCACAGGGCAAGAGGCTTTGGAAAGTGAGAGCTGCCTTGGAGCATGGGACACGCCAGAGTCAAAGCCACCTACTTACGTGACCGGGACAGACCGCAGCTGTGTATTAACATCCTATTTATAATAATAACTTTATAGCGAGTTATGACCTGATTGATGGGCTGTAGACTCACATTAGCAAACACTGCGTAATTGGCTTTGGAGATGGGGAACAGTCAGCAGGAAATAGTTGTGGGTTAATGTGGTTAATCAACCGGTGCTTACATTAATGATACATTAACCCTTTCATTTGTAAATACAGAGCATGCTGCAGAGACATCCTATGTGACCTAGAAACGTATGGCTGCTGCTTTGCTTGGTTTTAGCCCTTTTTTTTCAATCCGGGAATGTGTTAACCATCACCTCAGATGTTCTTTGTTTTCTCCTCTTGATTCCATAGAATGGTTTGGGTTGGAAGGGACCTTAAAGATTCAGTTCCAACCTTTTTAAGCACTTTCAGTTAAAAGGAAAACTCTTTTTCCAGCTGGTTTGCAACACCTTCACAAACAAAACCCTGGTGACATCGGTCGCACAGATGCTGGGCATGCTTATAAATAGTTTAATTTCTGCTGGTTCGGAGCTTGGACTGAGAGAAGATGAAAACCCGCCTGATGGCAGAGCGATCCTGTCTCGGGTAACGTGCAGAAACGGGAATTGGTGGTCTTTCCCAGGATCGCAGCGCTGTCGGCTGCAGCACAGAACGGTTAGCTGGAGTTTTTCTGCCTGATAGAGGAATTTGTGCTCCGGCTGCCCTCTGCCGACCCAGTTGAGGTGAAGCCCAGACAGCGCGGGCTGTCAGCGAGAAAAACCCCAAACCAACCATAGATACCAAACCCCCTTTCCTCAGCACCACCCACACCATAAACCCCTGAATCTTGCCCCAGAAAACGACCTTCTGCTCTCTCCAGGGCGATAGCAGCATCGCTGCACCCCAAACCCAGCCGTGTTCTCACTCCGAGAGACCCAACTCTTGCCACGCCTCTAAAAACTCTAAAATGTCCTTTTTTCCTTCTTTCTAAACGTGCATGTTATGGGTTTGGAATGCAGGGTGGAGGAGAGAAACGAGGGGCTTTAAACTCGGGGTTTTATTTAACTGCAAGTAACTAAATCAGTGCCCGCTCTCCGTCACCGCAGAGAGAAACGTTTAACTGAAACCCCAAGGAGGCTCAAGAAGAAAGAAGAAAAAACACCCAAGAAACCAAACTGGCCTCGGAAAAGGAGTTTAAAAAAAGAAATGAGTGAATAAACCCTTGGCTCCTCAGTCCCTGAGGCTTTTCCAGGGCTTTTTATGTCCATAATGAGCACAGGGACACTGCATCTGTGGTTCCCCGGGCCAGCCCAGCGAGTCAGGGTCCAAGCTTCGTTTTGGTGATGAAAACCCCAGTCCTGCAGCTATTTGGGGGTGCAGTGGACACTAGTGGATGCACCCCGTTTGGTGTCCGGTGCTGGAAGATGGAGGTTGAACCACGGGGTTTTAGCAGGACGACTCGCTTCGCCAGCGGATGTGGCAGGACTTGCAGAGGAGGTGGTTGTCCAGGGGGTAGCACCCATCCTCTGTCAGCTCTGGTGACAGGGGTGTCCGGCAGCTCTGGGGGTGAGAGGGAAAAGGGAGGACACATGTTAGGGGTCCTGTGCCATGTTGCATCCTATCAAACCCACCAGCGCTTGGACAAAGCAGCAGACTCCATAAAAAACAGGAAAAGATGAACTTCTCCTGGCTAAGCACATTGTCCTTTTCACCAGATCTGTTTATCTCCCCATCTCCACCACTTGCAAGGTAAACTGATGGCACCCGGGGTGCTGCAGACCCCTTGGCTGTGCTTTACAAAGGCTCAGAGCCAATCCCTTGTGCTTTTGGGGGGCACCATTGGGGCCGTACCTCACAGCAGTAGCAGCTCTCGTGGAAGCTGCGTCCCAGGCACTCAATCTTGTAGGTGTCCTTGTCCTCGTGGGGGATGATGGGGCGCTCACAAGCGCTGCAGACCGCAGCGTATTTCCTGATGGGAGCAAACGGGAGCAGCATGAGCGCTGTGGGGTGATGGGGACAAGCTGCATGTCACCAGCACTGCCATGCTCATGCTCCCCAACCTGTAGAAGTCGGCCACGCAGTACACCTCATCCTGCTCGTCCACAGCGAAGCTCTCAGTGCCGATGGCCCGGCCGCAGGCAGCACAGGAGAAGCAGTCAGGATGGAAGCCTTTGCCCAGGGCACGGACGATGCGCTCCGTGATCAGCCCCTGGCACTTGGCGCATTTCTCCAGTGTGGCCTGGGGTGGGGGGGGGACACCATGAGATCCCTGCTCCCACCCTCAGGGACCGCATCTCCTGCCCCCCCCCCCCCCCCCCCCCCACCCCCTGAGGGTGCTGGTTGTCCCCATGGGAGTACGGATACCTGGTAGCAGGCGTCGCACATGGGACGCCCATCCTTTTGGTAGTAGCGCTGCCCGGCCAGGAGCCGGGGGCACATCCTGCAGGTGAAGCACTCGGCGTGGTACTGCTTCCCCATGGCCTCCACTGTCGGCTCCCGCGGCCCCAGTGCCTTGTGGCAGAAGGCGCAGATGTCTTCGGGAAGAAGGGAGAGGGGTTTGGTGCTGGGTGCCTCAGTTTCCCCAACTGAGGAAGAGCTCACAGTGCAGCTCCATCCCCACCTTACCTCTGGAGCTGTCCCTCTCTGGGTACCCTTCTGCATCCCGCCGCTGCGGCTTGCCGGCTTGCTCCTGGCAGAATTTGGGTGGCCTCAATTCGGCAGGGAGGGCAGAAGGGGCCTGGTGGGTGCAGGAAGACAATGGCATGTCACACTTATGCCCTTGCACGTGGGGAAACTGAGGCAGTGGTGGGATGCGTCCTAACCTGGAGGGTGGTGGGTGCTGCAAGGTCCAGTTGCTGCAGCGCTGGAACCAGTGTCTCTGCAGACAAGGGCTGGGGAGCTTCGGAGAGGACAAGGACCGTTGGGGATGAAGGCAGAGGGGCTGCTGGGCAGGTTTCTGTGGCAAAAGCCAGATGTGGTGGATTTAGGGGGCTCCAAGAATGCCCCATTGCAATAGCTCCCTGACGGCTTTGCAGCAACACTCACTGCACCGACCTGCCCCAAAAGCAAACGCCACCGCAGCCGAGGGGACAAACAAGGCCGATAAGCACCCAGTGATGAAGAGCAAACACAGGCTGTTCCCAGCAGCCAGATCCATTCAGGGATGGGTGCAGGGATTTGAGGAATAACCCCCTCAAACCCCCCACATCCCTTCCTGCCTGCACACACATCCCTTAATGCAAAGGAGACACAAAGCATCTCCGCACCACCATCCTCCCAGCACCATTTGCAGCACCACACAGCCACCACTCACCTCCATTGGGCAACGCCGGGGGCCAGGGCAGCGGGGTCCAGGGGTGATGGGTGCCTGGGACCTTGTCCCCATCTGGCTGCAGCTCCCTTTGGGTTTTCTCCTTGGTGGCCACCTCCCTCCGCGGTGGCACCAGGGTGATGAAGACCGATGAAACCATCCTCTTCTCCGCTTTCCCCGACAGCATCGCCAAAAGCACGGACCTGGGTTTGGTTTTAGGGCAAAATGAGAGAGCAAAACCTGTGGGCACACTGGGAGCTCCGGAGGCCCTGCTGCCCTTCAGCCTCAGCCCGCCTCCCTCCTCGCCTTCCCGGAAAGGGAGAAGGAGCGAGTGTCCCCGTCCCACGTCACGGCAATAAACAGCCTCGTGCCTGGGAGGACACAGGGTAAAGGGTCCCGGTGAGGCAGCAGCCAAAATCTCCCATTTTCAGGCCCTTGTGGCCAAGCCCTGCCTGTTTGTAGGCCTTTTAATCCCCTTTATTCCTTCTTTTTGCCCCCATTTGGGATTAAGCTCCCGGTGGGCAACAGAAAAATCTCACTTTTCCTGTTAAAAATGGGGTTGCGATAGGATCTCCTTTTGCAAACCCTTTTTGGGAGTGTTCCCATGTCCCCTGGCTTCCCATTCCCTCCCTGCTTACCCCCATTTCCCAGCTAATGACTTCCAGCTCAGGGCATCCCCCGCTTTAGCATTACAGATGGGGAAACTGAGGCACAATGCTGCACATCACCACATCCCCCCATCACCAAAGAGGCCCCCGAGCATCGCCCAGCAGCACAGGCAGGATGCGCCTGATCCCGATAAACCCCATTTGGGCAGGAAAAGCTCTGTTTATTCAGCTTCCCAACGGGAAAAGCAGCTGGGGCGAAGCTTCCCCTTCCCAAACTGGATGGTTTAGGGGGGGGGGGGCAGGGAGCCCTGAGGCTTTAGCCGGGAGCTGCAGCAGTGAAGATTCATCCCCTTGGTGGATTGTCAGCCTGAGCAATACCTGTGTGACGAGCTGCCCGGTCTCATTCCCTGTGCAGGGCGGCTCCGCTTCCCCAAACTCCCTCTCACTGGTGCCAGTGCATCCTTTTGGGGGGGGACAGTCCCCCTGCGGTGGGTGCAGGGCTTCGGGATGCTCACACCAGTGACTTCAGCCTCTGACTCAAGCAGGGGAAGGGATTAGAAAGGGAACTCGAACCCAGCCCAAGCGGCTTCGCTCCCGCCCTCCCCGCCGGCGCAACCCCAGCCGGGCTCCAGCACCGCCGGCCTTGGCCCAGCCGCTCAAACCCTGCCCGCGGGAGCCGGCGCTGCTCCTCCTCCTGCCCAGCAGCGCTGCAGGGGAAAAAGGGGGGGGAAACCGGTAATAATGGTGAAAAATCCCCCAAAAGTAAAAAAAACTGATCGCCGGGGCTAATGGGAACCATGTGCTCAGCGCATTCCTCTTTGTGCCGGGCTGATGGGATCCCGGCGGCCCCATCGCGGCACCCCCGGTTCCCCCCCAGCCAGGGGCCGTCAGGGTGGTCGAGGCTTGAGGGGTGCACTAATGGGGTGCCCCCCCCCCCCCCATTTTATATGGGGTTCGTTCCCTTGCACGTAGCCCTGTCCTGGTTTGGGATGGGCCATGTTGGGAAGGGCCTTCCCGGTTTCCTGCGAGCATCGTCCCGAAATCTCCTGGGGGGGAGCCCAGGTGGGGCCGACAGGGGTGGGGCCACTTATGGGACACCCCGAAATCCCCCCAGAATTAGGAGGGGACACGGGAATCTTACAAGTGACCCCCAACTCTGTGCCCTGCCCTGGGGACCTCTTGGAGAGCACTTCGAGGACACCCAAAGGAGAAGGGGCAGAGCGGGGGAACACAGCGCAGGGTGTCCCCTGGTCCCTTTCACAAGTGGCCCCACTGTCCCCATGTCCCTTACCCTGGGGTGGCCTTGCAGTCCCCCACAACCCCATCTCCCACCGCCCCCCCCCCAGCCCCTTATCCCATGTATGGCGGTGGCCCCACCATGCCCCCCCCAACCTGAGACCCCCAGTTCCCTTCCTGGGGGTGGCTCCGGGTTCCCCTGTCCCATCCCAGGACGGCTCTGCAGCCCTTTGCCCATTACCTGGTGGGGGTCCCTGTCCCCTACCTGGGGGGTCCCCAACCCCATACCTGGACTGTCCCCTACCTATGGGGGTCCTTAAGGGGGGGGGGGGGTGGTCGCTTGCCCTGAGGTGGCCCCACAGCGTCCCGTGGGGGGTGTCTTGTCTCTGTCCCCTACCTGGGATCCGGTGCGGGTCCCTCCGTGCGCTCCGCGGACGCGCCCGGTGCGGCGGGGGCAGCGGGGGGGCAGAGCCGCCCGGCATCACCGCCCCTTCCTCCCTCCTCCTCCTTCTCCTCCTTCCTTCCTTCCTCCTCCCCCCGCCTGCCCCATGGCGAGTGGGGCGCCCAGTGCACCCTAGGGGTGTTCGGGGGATCCGGAGCTGTACGGGGCACCCTGGGGTGTCCCATAGGTACTTAGGGTGCCCTATAGGACATGGGGTGCCCCATAGGCCCCCCCGACTGCCCCATGCACCCCAGGGTGCTTCATGGACCCAAGGGTGCCTCATGGACCCAAGGGTGCCTTCTGACTGCCCCCTGCACCCCAAGGTGACCCATAGTCCCTTGGGTGCCCCTGTGTGCCCTGGGATGATCCATGCTCCCATCCTCACTCCTGGTTGTCCTATGGATATCCTCCCCCTCCAGTTGCCCCAGGCCCTCTCAGGTTGCCCCATACAGTGCTGGATGCTCCCAACACCCCTAGGGTGCCCTGTGAACCACCCCATATACCCCTAGGATGCCCCATGTGCCCCCTCTATCCCCAGGATACCCCATAGTTCCCTGTACAGCTCCACATGCTCCGCTGTGCCCCCTTATGCCCCCAGGATGCCCAGTACACTCCCAGAACACCCCACACCACCTCTGTGCACCCCGCTCTGGCATGGTGGGACCTCAGCTCACTCTGCCCCTGGATTTTGCTGGAAAAACCTTTATTTCCCGAGGTTTACAAGCCCTTGGAGGCCCCTGAACTGCCACAGTGTGGCCCTGCAGCCACCAGGGCCAGGGCATCCATCAGCATCCCAGACCCACAGTGGGACCAGGGAGCCAGTCCCCAGCAGTGCCACAACCTCATGGGATCCCCCCAAAAACAGGGGATACAAGAGTCTCCCTCTGAGCTCCCCCACCCTGTGGGATGGGGTCTAGCACCTTCCAGGAGCCCTTTTTCCTTCGTCCCCATGGGGGACCTGTGATGGGGAGGATTTGGGGGGTGGGGTGGGTGGAAGTGTTTTGGGGAGCCAGGCAAAGCCACTTTGAGTCTCTGATGCCCAGTTACACCCCGTGTCCATCAGGATGCCGCCTCTGATCCCGATCTTGGCCGCCTATCCAACCGAGAATGCTGGGTGAAATCCTATGGGAGATGGAAGGAGAGAAGCAGAGAAGCCCCTCACCGTGGTCTCAAGGCTGCCACAGTCCCTCACTGCAGCGTCGTGGCGGTGTCACCACCTCACCTGCCTCCAGCACGCCTCCAGCATGACACGGGCATGGAGCAGGCACCACAGTTCTCCCAACAGCGAGATGAGGACGTGGAAGATGTCAACCCAGTGCCCAACGGTGAGGAGGAGGATGAAGAGGCCGCCCATGCGCACCAGCACCGTCTGCAACACCGGCCGCCTCCCGCTGCTCTGCTGCGGCTCCTCTGCAAGGACACGGCCACCACAGTGGGACCCTGTCCCTGCCCCACAGCCAGGGACTGACACTTCAGGGATGCTACAGATGCACCATATAGGGACATACCCCCCAAACCCCCGTAACTGGGTCTCCTCCTCACCTTGCATGTAGATGATCAGCAGCGTGTAGCAGATGGTGAGCGGCGTCCAGAAGCGGATGGCCTCCCCTGTGGAGAGGAAATCCCGGTTGATGAGGGCTACGGCAGCCAGGTCCGCCACGGTGAAGGTGATGGCCAGCGCCTGGCGCAGCAGGCGCGGGATGCGGTGCCCGGTGCTGAGCAGGAGGATGCAGACGCCGCAGTACTGCGCGGGGCTGTGCAGCTCGTACAGGGTGCAGACGTGCCGCGCCAGGCGCCGCGCGCTGCAGGCCAGCAGCCCCGCCAGCCCCGCCGCCAGCGCCAGGTTGCAGGTGCTGTGGGGAGCCCCTTCCAGCAGGAAGCTGAGGCCGCAGGACACGCCGCAGCCCAGCGAGTACTGGCACAGCAGGTAGAGCTGGGTGCTGTGGGAGCCCTGCGGGACGGGACACACTGTCAACAGAGCAGGGAGGGATGCACGGATGCGAGGGGATGCAGGGCTTCCTCCATGCTGCAGCATCCCCCCAGGCGCTGGTTGCAGCAAGGGGATGCACAGTTGCAAAGACATGCCTCTTCATCCTCCCCACAGATGTTGCAAAGCAGTGCTTGGCTGCAGTGCAAAGCAGGATGCATGGCTGCAGACACACAGGCATTCAAAGTGATACATGGATTTCTCCATGCCACCCATCCTCATCCTCCCTGCAGGTGCTGCAGAGCTATGAGGGGATGCATGGCTGCAAAGCAGCAAGTGGTTTTCTCCATGCTGCAGCCCCCTGTAGCCCTGCAGATGTTGCAGGCAGCAAGGGGATGCATGGCTGCAGAGATGCATGCATGCAAAGGAATGCATGGTTTTTTCCATGCCAGCCATCCTCCCTGTAGATGCTCCATGCAGCAGGGATGCATGCATGCAAAGGAATGCATGGTTTTTTCCATGCCAGCCATCCTCCCTGTAGATGCTCCATGCAGCAGGGATGCACAGTTGCAAAGCACTGAGTGGTTTTCTCTATGCCGCAGCCCCCTATAACACTTCAGGCATTGCATGCAGCAAGGAGATACATGGCTGCAGACATGCACGCATGCAAAACAATACATGGTTTTCTCCATGCCAGCCATCCTCATCCTCCCCGCAAAGGCTGCAAAGCAGCTGGAAGATGCACAGCATCCTCGATGCTGCAGATCCCATATGCCTCATGGGTGCTGCAAGCAGCAGGAGGGGATTTATTTCGGGCACGCCACAGCCCTCATCCTCTCTGCAGGTGCTGCAAACCCACACACAGTCCATGCCCCCTCCCCATCCTCCCCAGGCAAACCCACAAGCGAGGCTCGGTTCCGCAGCCCCCTGTGCCTCAGTTTCCCCCGTGTCCCGTCTCACCTTGCCGAGGGAGAGCAGGGTGGACACGGCGCGCAGGGAGAACTCCAGCACCACCAGCGCGGCCACGCGGGAGCCCACCAGCGCCAGCAGCCCCGTCAGCACCAGCACATGCAGTGGCTCCAGCACCCGCCGCTGCGCCCGCATCGCCTCCTTCTCCGCCTGCCCCTCTGGGTCACTGGGGACAGCGAGGGGGACACTGAGCCGGGCGGGATGTCCCCTCCCTCCTCTGCCGCCCCAAAAGCAGGATGACAGCCTCGAGAGGTCCCCCGTGCTTTGCAGCAGGGAGAAGAGGGCACAGCCCTTGCCCTGCCACTGCCAGCACGCATGGGTGCTGCGAGCTGCCCTCCCCAGCAGTGGATCCCAAAGGCAGATCCATCCCAAAACCCCCTTATGGAACCGGGAAAGAGGGGCTGGTGCTTACTTCAGGCACTGGATGTAAAGATAAACCTTCAGGAGGCTGCAGAGCACCGAGACGGCGCAGGCACCCACCAACCCTGCAGGGAAAAGGCAGCAGCAGGTCACCGGTGTCCCTGAGCCATACCCAAGCTGTCCCCATGGACCCCTGGGGGCTCTCACCTTGTAGCAGCGCATCCAGCAGCGCCCAGCCCCATGTCAGCCCCGGCAGCCACGACCCCAGGGAAAACATTCCGGATGGAGAGGAGCCACAGCAGAGCCAGGGCCCAGCTCCAAGGTCCAAGGGGTGGAGGCCGGGAGCCTCCCCCTGGCTGGTAAATCATTGCTGGGGCAAGTGAGGGCAGCTGGAGCTCAGCTCCT